TACATTATGAGATTCGTAATAATTATACAGTAAGAATAGTAGCCATTTAGTGTGATTTAAAGAATTTCTTCAACAATTTAGGTTAGACACATGAGGAATTTTTTTACGAGCTAAGATGGCGATGTTCTGCGGCATTGCTACCTCAAAATCGTTTTTGCCCGATAGCCGCTAACAACCCGTAGTCTGTATACCCCTGTCTGCAATGCCCAGTTGAATTAGTTCGCCTGGGGCGGAGAAGTGCATTAATAAAACGGGCTTTGGAGTACCGTTCAGGTCTTTGATTTTTTACTCCCATTTTGTCATTTTGTCATCCGCCCTCTCCCACAATGGAAGCCTTGATTCAAGCTCGCCAAGAGCAATATGGTTCAACATCGGTGCCCTTGTATGGCACTACGACAAGCGCAACTTCCCCGACTCTAACTACACCGAGCTCTTCATCAGCGGTATCCCCTAAAACCACGTCGGCAAGTGTGATACATTCCTCCTCATCCAGCACCCCTACCACCACTGCATCCAGCCTGCCATCGCACAATAACGGAGTCAGCAAGGGCGCTCTGGCAGGTGCAATCGTTGGATCGATTGCCGGGACTGCTCTTCTTGCCATAATTGGGGCTGCACTCTTCTTTCGAAGAAAGAAAGGCACTACTCATTCTAGCAGCTCCGGTGACTCCGATCGGGATGGCGTGGAGTTGGTGAAACCGCGAGCCAGAGTTCAAGCCCTATCGAGTCACTCTCCCCTTTCTCCGACAGGCGGCCGAAGTTCGCTCCTCGATTTGATCCCTTTTATTCCCCAGCCGGCCGACGACCAAACTGTCAGCACGCGCATACAGACTCTCTTCGACCACATCGGTCTGCATATCGACAACTACTACGTGCCTGCAAGATATGAAACTGTATCACCAACCCCGGAGGAAGCTATTCGCATAGAGAGCTATGCTTCTACCTCGATTACTGGATCCTTGATCACCGCTTTAGCTAGCCGTCGCGCCCGTCGACCTGTCCTCAATCATGTCTTAGCTCGAACCATCTTACAAGCAATTCAACCTAGAGGGTCCCTGTATCCACCGTTCATGGAGTCTCATGGGGTTGAACCTCTCCCAGCCTCGACTTCGACTCGTGACATGTTCGCGTGGCGTATGCTGACAGCTCGTCTCCATCCGGAGTACGTGGACCTGTCTTCGGCAGCTGCACAAAGGAACATCGCTGCTCTCGCAGAGAACTTTTCAGAAGCCTTTGCGATATACCAAGATCCTGAACTCTCCGATGCAGATCGCCGGCGTCACCTGGCCAGTGTCGTTAGGGAGGCAGCTCAGCTGAGTGTATGGCTGTTTACCCAGCCGTGCTCGTTCAACTTTAGCTGGAGTGCGCCGTCTCCTGGCTCTATTGTTGTTTTACCAGCGGTCATAAAAATGAGTGATGAACGGGGTGATGTACTACCCGTTCCTCAGAAGATGGTGGAGGAAACGATTGCTCAGATATGATTTTCTCAACCAAGTTCCGGATATAATGTGTCGTAATAGCTTCATGACCTTGAATGCCCCTTTCATACTGCCATATCGCAAGTAACAACTGTCTAAATATTATTTCCCTTCGCCTGCCTCCAGCGTAATAAATCCCGCATCTCATCCTTAACATCTAACCCCAACCCTCCTCCTTTCATAGCGTTCACTCCCGAACTCGCCTCGCCATCAGTATAAGCGCCAACGCCAATACCAAGCGCCTCACCCTCCCCAGGCAACTCCTGTACCTCCACCTCCTCTATACCCAATGCCTCCCCACCTCCCCTCCCTGCTATCACTTTCCCTCCATCATCACAACCCACCCCCATCAACCTCTCCAAAACCACCATCAAGCTCGAATAGCAAACCACCAACCTGCTCCTCTGCACCTTCGCCCTCTGCCCATCCCTACATACCCATCTCAACTGCGTCCCCAAACCCATTGACATCCGCTTACTCCTCCCCTTGACATTATGATGTGTAGTGGGCTGATTCCTCACCTCCCACTCCACCCTCACCGGCTCAACCAACACCGCTAACGCATGCATCGCGTCTGCCGTATCTGCAATCGTAGACTCAATCCATTGTCTTTCTGAATCGTCAACAAACGCTGCCTTTTGGGCGTAGAGGTGCGAGGCGCGGTGAAGATGCGTGCGGATGTGCGTGAGGGTTTGGAGGAGTTCGGTTGATTCGTGGTGCGCGGAGGGGAAGAGGAGGGGTGGGGTGGGTGGTAGTTGTAGGTTTGGGTGTGGAGGATTGGTTGTGAGGGAGGCTTGATCTGATAGTGAGGTGTTGGGTGATGTCGAGGTGGAGGTTGATGTTGTGGACATGGGCATGATTATGGATGTGGATATGGTGAGGGTAAGTTGGTTGAATACTGTAGAAAGCGTTCGGGGGGATCAGAAGAAGGAGGAGGTGATGGTGGCCCGGGTGCTCGGGGGTGGTTTCCGTGTATAGGGCCCGTTGTTAGGGATGGTATTGGGTGTGTGGATAGGTAAATAGATTGGTGCGGAGCGTACGGATGTATGCATCTAGGGTCTTTAGCTGCATGTGTATTTTTGCTGAAATGCGGAATACCCTATACACCACGGCGCTGAGTATCGTCTTTGTTAGCGCAGGAATGGTTACGTGCAGTTGACCAATAGGAAGCGGGGCCCTCATGCATACTGACTGCGCCGCAATTTGAACCACTGGCCAAGAAGGCTGGACAGATAAGCACCCGACAAGGTTTCTTAGCATAGGTACACCCGTTCCTCTATCCGATTTGTTGATTATGTGCATTGGTGGGGTTCCGTGCGGGGACGAAGGATCCGCTAAATAACCGCTTTATAATTGCTATTGCGGTTTTAGACCACTGCTATTACTTACTTTGGCGTAGCTCAGCCTCGCCCCGAGACGGTTGAGCGGTCTCGCCCGAAAGTCTGTCTTTGCTCAGTGTTGGATTTGATTGCATGACTCATGATTGAGCTGATGCCATTGATTCTTTGCCTGGATAGGCGTACCTGGTCGGTATGCTACATCGCAATACAATCTGCATAAGTTGAAGAATAATTTCTTTAGATACAATCTCAAAGTACACAGGTGCTCGTATAAAGAACCAGGCATAGAATAGTCGACAAGATTCGGCAAGCCATGCTACATCTTCCAGCTTCCATCCATCACATTCAACACCTTTACTATCTTAAGACTCTTACAGAGCAAGAGCAATGCTGAGGGCTCCAGCAGCGCCAGCGAGACGCATGGCAAGGCCTCCGGTCATGTCAGGTGCACCCCCAGTTGACACAGAAGAGCTCTCTGAGGCGGTCGATGCAGCACTCGACTTGGACGTACTTGTCCCCGTCGACGACGAGGAAGACGAGGAGATAGAGAACGATAACGGCGTCGATGTTGAATAATTCCAGGAAGGGCTAGTGGCATTTCCACTTGAATCTGGCGTCACGGTTTTGGTAACAGCCGTGGTAACTGGAGATCCGGTGACAGTTTCCCAAGTGGTTACGGTCTTAACGGCGGGTGTACCCTGGTTTGTAACATCGTTGAGTGTGGCTAACACTGTCACTGCGAAGAGGGCGAGTATCCTGAAAAACATGTGAAAGGTATTGAAAAGCCTTCGTTGGGTAGTATAGCTGGTTTTGAATAAGGTTGGGTGATGAAGTTACCATGTTAGTAGGAGGGACTCTGGTTTATGTACTCTAGTTTGTTGGAGCCTACTCGGGAGTGAATTATTTTGTGAGTCTTATGTGAGAGAAGAATGAGGCGGCAACACTGATGTTCGACTACGTTAAGAGATGCCTTCTTCTCTTAGGGGTCCGTGAGCTCCCGCGCCACCGCCCCATAATCGTCACATGGCAGCTAAGCTATTAGCCCACGAATGAACAAGCATCGACGTGGAGACTCAGCATTTGGGGAGAAAACATGGTATCTCGGAGAGATCGTCGGGAAAGCATGCTAGTATCCTACGAGAAAATAGACGCACCTGGTACTCCGTACTCTTCCAAGGCTGTGTGTTTCCACGAACCTAATTCTTGCCTTCACCGGTCATATAAGAAAGAAAAGCAACTGCCCTTTTTGTCTGTCATGATTTCTATTTCACGTATTGGAATTTTAACCTTGACTTACTCTTATAACCTTCAGTGCTCTTCTGATGGGCTTTCAGGGCAAGGAATTCACGCTGACACCATCGGTCTAACTATCATTCGAAACATGTATCGACTAACTGACCAGCTTCTATACGGCGACCTTGGATATTCGTGCCATGATCAGACAGAACTCGCACAGTACTTGAATGTCCTGTCACTGGAGCATCCGAGATAGCAGGTTGGGATCGTGTTCGGCACTCCCCATCACAAGTGCTCCAGTCCGTCTATTTCATCCCCGTGGCCCAGCAACATCCTCACCAACGTGTCATCTCCGATGGTAGCTCCGACGTTAAGTAGCATCTGTAAGTGAAATCATGACTTTATAAGGACTTTCCCGTGTTGCAGTAAGGGATCACGGCATGAGAGGCTCACGCCGGCACCGTAGTGGAGGAAGTTTTGTGTTCTCTGGAGGCAATGGCTCGCATGATACTTGTTGGCCAACTATGTGCGAAGTCTCGAGACTCATCGGGCGACTGGTAGTAACAGAAAAAAGGAGTATCCCCCAGATATGGTGGTTCGGCTCACCTGCTGGGTAACGTCAACAGTAACATGGTGTATGCACAACTGGGTGGGTGTAACTGATGCTCTCAAGGATATATAAAGATTAAAACGTGGCCGACCCTACGGCGGCTAGCAGCGGCAATCGGGCAATGTCGACCCGCCAAGTATCCATTGATAACCTAAGCGCGCGCTCTCATCCCCTTGATCTGCAACCCCCAACATTCCAACTAAACCTTCGTCAACTGCCATCTTCAGCATGATCAAACCGAACGTGACACCGTGGACATGGCGCCCATCTCGATCAGTTTCCTTATGTGTAGGTGCGATGTCGTCTTCGGCTTCCACGTCGCGGAAATTTTCCACGATGAATGACGATCGTCAACTCTACGAATACACATCTGGTCGATGGATGTGAGTTCCTTGGAGATGCCGGCTACTCTCCCCTTTCTGTAGCTTATATGGATAGATATAACGAGCAAACTCGTCTCGCTGAGCGTCTCACAGAATTTAATGTTGGTGCATTGAAAAGTACTGTAGCTCGGTCCCTACAGAGATCTGACACAGATATTAAATGCCTTTCAAAATCGGCGGAAGGGGGCTTCAACCGTGTTCTTCAGATCACCATGCTTGATAGTACTAAAGTCCTTTCCCGATTGCCATATCCTTCAACACAACCAAAAGGGCTCGCAGTCGCAAGTGAGATGGCGACCTTGGCTCTCCTTCGGGCTCATGGTCTTCCTGTACCCCGGGTATATGCATACTCCACAGATGCTACAAACCCTGTTGGCTCGGAGTATATCATCATGGAGGAACTACCAGGGCAACCACTCGGTGATCGGTGGTTTGGTTTGTCGGATCGAGAACGCCTCAAGGTTCTTCTGCAGCTTGTACAGTTAGAAGCAAAGAGTTATGCTATTCAGCTACCTGCGAGTGGAAGCATATACTACGCGAGCGATCTGCCATCAGACTCACCACGCGTCGCCGTTCCAGATTCTAATTTCTGCATTGGCCCCGATGCAGCTCTTAAATGGCGGTTCGCGGAGCGTGCCTCTCTCCGTGCCGACCGCGGTCCTTGTAGGTGCTTCCTAAGTCAGCCTGTCTCAGTGCTGACTATATATTAGGTGCGGACCCGATCGATGTTCTCCGAAATCCTGCGTTAAAGGAACTAGCCTGGCTGCGCAAATATGGCCGCCCACGTTTCCCTTTTGAGCGTGCATATCGCGAGTCCATGGATTACCGATTGTCCGACCCTAGTGAGCATATTGAGTCGCTGGAATCCTACCTCAAGATTGCACCTCGGCTGCTCCCATCAAATGAATTCTTGCGTCCGGTCCTTCGCCACCCTGATCTTCAGCCCAACAACATCTTCGTCTCAGATGACCTGGAAATCGTCGGGCTAATTGACTGGCAACATGCAGCTGTCCTTTCGCTCTTCCTCGCCGCCGGGATTCCCAAGTTCTTCCAGAACTACGATGATCCTGAATCACTTCATTTTCGCCCGCCCCCCACTCCGGAGTTAAGCGATCTGGACGAGGAGGAAAAGGCCGATGCCCTTCACGACTTTCGACGACGCCATACCCACTTTTTCTATTTGGCATTCACTCAGCGGTTCAATGAGCCCCACTTCCGCGCTATGGATCAGACCACAAACATGCTCACTCGGCGCGTCTTTAGCCATGTGGGCGACCCCTGGGAGGGCAACAATATTCCGCTTCAAGCTGACCTTGTCTTATTGACCAAATCCTGGCACGAATACTCAACTGACCCGTGTCCAATATCTATCTCTACGGCCAAGTCAGATTCTATCATGCATTTGCAAAGCATGCAGGAAGAGATTGACCTCCAACTAAAACATATCCGTAATGCTATTGGTATCAGTATTGATGGATGGACTCCTTCGGAAGAGTATGAAGCTGCCTGTGCCCGTGCTCGTCAGATGAAAGTTGATGGCCTCGCTTCACTGGATACAGACTACGAGCGCGAAATGACGGATCGACACTGGCCGTTCGATGACCACAATGAGGATGAGTAGCGTGACTATTTTCTGTGTCTAGACTTCTCTTCAAAGGGTAGAAGATGCAACATGTTGAATCTGTTAGAACTCTTGGTTCTTTGGTATTCTTGAAGATGGAGACGCCCTGGCCACCTGCAGAGTAGCTCTGTGATCATGTGCCGGGATGCGGAATACTGTACTTAATGTCGTCTTCATTTTATCAGACACCTAGAGCTCCTGCCACTTCTTTCTTTACGTGTGGAGCATATTCCTTGCTTCAAAGGGTTAAGCGAAGGTATAGCTAGCTTCTTGATTAGCTGGCTCGATCATGTATAATAATATGGATTGAATTGAATTGGTTGTCATGGATAGACAAATACACAAATACGTGTCTATATATGTGTGATGAGGAAAGGAAAAAAAGAAAAAAGACATTCAAGAAGCACAATACAGTATTGCATTTCTACGACTTTGCTTTGGCTAGACTGCTCATTAGTGTCTACATGTAAGCGGTGGGGAAGAGTCATGTTGGGACAGAGACAAGAGCGTATATTAAGCAAAGATAGGGCTTTTGTATACTCGACAAATGGTATTGAATTATGTGCGGCGTCGACGTTTCTGTAGTTTATTGCAGATCTAGAAGTTTTCAAGCTAAAACCGCCGAGGTCAATCGGGGAGTATTCGGGCGCAACTGATCACCCGCGAAAAGCGCGGCGGGGGTTGAGGATTCTGGGAGGTTCGCCAGTCTTCCCGTCGTTGCCACTTGTTGATGGACACCTTGTGGGTACGAACATCTAAAAAACTAGCTTTACTCGCTCTTCTGATTCTGCTTGATGAGGTCCGCCGCTCTCTCCGCAAACGCATACACAGTAGCTTGCAGATTCGCCGTGCTTATAAGCGGGATAGCACTTGCATCCACAACCCTCAGACCTTCGATACCGTGGACTTTCAGATTGGTATCCACCACTCCATCCTTCTCGCGAGGCAGCATCGAACACGTTCCCGCAAAGTGCCACATGGAGACCAAATTGTCCCGAGCGTACTTCTTTGCGGCATCCAAGTCTCCTTGGAAGTCTGCATCTGGGTCACGGAACTTCAATGGCTGTTCAAGCAACTCCCCAAGCTGAGGTGACTCTGCCAGTTTCTTGATACGGAGCAAGTGATGTGCCATGACTTCCATGTCGAGAGGGTTTGACATGTAGCCAGGGTCAATGATTGGAGGGGTTTCAGGGTTGTTGGAGGTTCTGGGGTTCGGTTTGTCAGTTCTACAATTTCTATCAAGAAAGATGTAAACGACAAAGATGCACTTACATTTGAACGCTTCCGCGGGAAAGCGGTTGAGAGAGCATTACTCCAAGCGTGACGAACTTTCCAGGTGAAGCATCTGGGATACTCCCGTCCCTGAGATCTTTGGCATAATTTGTCTGCCCCAAAGCGGATAGGTACGCAGCTGATGGTTGCTTGGGATCAAGAATAGTGGTCTTGGCGATGTCATAGTAGGATTGCGTTGCCTTGTGCTGTGATTTCTTAGCAGAGTCGCTGGTGAACAGTGCCTGGAGATCACTTCTGTCCTGTTCAGGAAGAGGTAAATAGGCGTAGGTATGAACTCCTAGTGACGCGAGGGGCCCAGACTGCGTGGCAGCATATTCCTGCATCGCCTGACCAATGGCTTCAGGTTCTTGTCTCATCAGAGAGTCCTTCGTTTCTAGTTCAGGCTTTGCTTGGAATGCGGTGTATGAGATCATATGATCTACAAGCATTGAATGTTAGCCTTTTTATCCCAAAGCGAGTAGTTTTCAAAAGGAGAGGGGTTCCTGTTATCTATGTCGCCGGTGCTAGACTGGAAGCTGTTCACATACCCTGAAGATTTTGCCCAACTCCGGGAAGGTCCATAACCACATCGATACCATGCTGGTTTAGAAGTTCTGCTCCACCAACTCCTGAAAGTTGGAGGATTTTTGGAGATTGGAAAACGCCAGCAGCAAGTACGACTTCACTCTTTGCTTGAACAATCTTTGAGGCCCCATCAATACTGTACTGGACTCCAATAGCCCTGGGAGGCTTGCCTTCGTCAAACAAGACTCTTTCAACAAGAGCGTTTGTAAGGACATGAAGATTTTGGCGAAGCTCCACAGGCTTATAGTAAGCCAAGGCAGAGTTACTTCTCTTACCCTCCGCGTCAATACTAGCAAGGCAACTGAAGGAGCCCACAGAACTGTGAATGAACGGATCCCCGCCATTGTATTCTCCACAGCTGCGAAACAGTTCAGCCCATGCTTTCCGGATAGGGTGTGTCACGTTGCCAAAAGATGTTTGGATTGGACCTTTCGCTGCGTTCAATTCAGGCCAGTCCTCAATTGCTAGACTTTCCTTGTCATCCTGTGCTACAGTTGGACTGCTGTAGGCCTTGGTCAAATAATCTTTCAATATGGCCCAATTCCATCCGGGATTACCGAGTTCTTCCCATGAGTCAACAGCCCCTTTAAATGGAGGAACAAAGACGTGTGCATTCAATGAACTGGAGCCTCCGAGTGTTTTGCCCTGATTAAGACCAATCACTCTGCCATTGAGACCCGGCTATACGAATTATAGATTAGCTATCCCACACACTCTCTCTTCATCGGGACAGGGGCCATTCATACCTGCGGAGCCGATTGGAATTTCCAATCAGCGTCAGATCCAAGTAGCGCGGCATAAAAGATAGGAATGTTCACGCGGGGATCTGCTGTCAAGTCGGCACCTGCTTCAAGAACGAGGACGGAGGTGTTGGGGTCCTCGCTCAGTCGAGAAGCAGTTACCAGGCCAGCCGTACCGCCGCCAATGACGACAAAGTCATATGCAGTAGTAGCCATTCTGTATGTGTGCAGGTTTACTTAAAGAATGGATGAGAGTGTGAAAAGAAAAAGAATCGCGAGTGTAGGAAGCAGCACAATTTTAAGAAGGAAGAAATACCCCGAGACGGGAGAGAGATATATATTGTGGAGTAATTGAATAGCTTCCTACTAGCTAGGGTCATCAGACAACAAAGAAACATTATAATGAGGTCCACGAATGCCAATTCTACCCCGCCCAACAGTACCCATTTCAGATGACCGGCTTCTGCCCCACCAATATTTTTAACCGCTAGTATTTACGTAACATGAAACCGAATCTGAGATAATCATTGCGGGCTTTACTACAGACACGCATCAGTACTAGACAAATGCATCACTACTAGAAAATAACCTCGAAAGTGGAAAACAGACGACTATATCAGAATATAACTGGGTCTAAACTTGACATACTTGTGGCTTAGGGAGAGGACTCTGGGGGCATAATGAGAACAGAGACTGGAAGACCGGAAAAACTTACTTTCGCGCCGCGATCGTAGGATTTTAGGTTAGATTACAGCCCTTCAAGGCTGATAATGAGTTATGTGGCAGTGTAAAGGTAACCTGAAATTTCGGCGGCATAATGTCTGTGCTAAGGGGCTTTCCACTGGTCACTGGAATATTAGTTTGGTTATGAGCCAATGAGAATTAGAGAATTGACCTCCCGAAAGTTGGCTTACAATCCTCTAAATTAATTCAACGATATCCTTGTAGTGGTCAGTGTTCTTGGCCTTGTGCGAACAACAGTCACATGCATTCCCGCAATCCCAGCCCTACCAAACATCTACAGTCTCTGGCTGCACATTTGTTAAATTTTCGAAAAAATAAACACTTTAGGATTTGCACTATTGAGCGCCAATGGTCAGTATTCATATTCTTTAACACTCACATAGCTGCGACCTATTAGTCCTATCCAGGATATTTAAGTGTTGAATACTGTATTCTTTACTAGTGCTAGCCCCAGTTGGGAATTTGGCTGTTCTTGCGTTATTTCGGAGATTTAAGAAATCTGCGGCCAAAGACTGTAGACTATTCCGTGGCTCCCAACAATTACGGCCTTCATTTGGCCCCATGCATTTTCCACCCCATGAATTTTACTCCTGTCTGTTTAGTGGAACGCATTTTGGCCCCATGCATGAGACATTTGCGTACTCGGCGCTCCTCCCGGCCGATTCAGCATTGAACATGGAGTAAACGGTTTATGAGTTCAGCGATCTGACACGGGTTGGTTGTCTGTGCTAGGGATGGTGTAATTTCAATTTCTGGAAACTCTTACAGTAATTCTGAAAGATTTTTGAGAATTTTGGGTGATTGGCCGCTTACCACATGCAAAGTATGTACTAGTAGGTTATGAGCATCTCTCGGTTCACCTTCCCGAAATTGTATACCTCGGTCGCGCAGCTGTTTCCTGTTTTGAAGGAACAAGAGATAAGAGACACTATCACCTCGTGCGCTCATCGCAGTATTAGCAAATTAAGCTCCTCACTCCTTGGCTTGAATATGAATCGGGGTTGATACATATTGACGATAAGTGCATCCAAATATCTTTGAGAGAATGTATATTTCGTCATATCTTTGCACCTTTTGCGCTGGTCAAGATTCCCTAGAATAAAGTGTACATAACACAATACCTCAATTTTTCATTCTATATGGTAGTATGCCCTTGTTTTTCAAGAGACGTTTTTAACGCTACGAAAAGGAGTTCCTCGTTAACTCGGTATAATAAATCGTCTTCTGCAAAAGAGCCTGCATAGGCCTTATTTGTTCGTTGCTGACTAGAGTCAGCCTTTCATAGTCATGTAAACTATATCTACTAGATATACGTAGAAATATGTAACAGTATGAGACAAGAACTTCATGAGGTAAGCGGACCTGGAAGATATAATTCTACGCAATATGTTTACTACTTGGGTTCCACAAGTGTTTTTGGATGTACTGTGTAACACTAGCTCCAATATACATCCCGCTACACTGGTCGGTTCATGAAGAAAACGAGGACGAATAGCGCAATTGTGTTCCGTTGTTGGTTCCCTGCAGCTAAGGCATATCTGGACACAGGAAGAGAAGAGACTGTATCCTCCGCTGGGCTAATCATAATCATATTAGCTTCATAATTGCCAAGAAAGATCTACGGATCCAGAACTCTATTGTGTTAAATTAATAACCTTAAAATGCGCTCTTTAAATTGACTAAATAGGGCATACTGGCATTCGAGTTGCTATTTAATATATCATGGTCTTGATTGAAGGAGTGGCACACGATGATTTAAAATCTAGTGGGACTTGGACTTCTATATTTCAATGGAGACCTTTGATAGTAGTATGCTATTCTGCTTTCCGTAAAGATGATTTTAAAATACTTTGAAGAACAGCTGACAGTCTCAGGACAAGAACATCCGACCGTCGAAAAATTGGTGAAAAAGGTACTATCTGAAAGGCTAAATTGGGGATGTGGAAAAGAGTTTATAGATGGTATATATGTACCTGTCCTCAGTGGACCTTGCCTTTCTTGGCTTGGGCTCCATATAGCTATAAGCTAAGTTGTGCGTCTTCTACTGACAAGTGTGCTTCAGAGACCTATCTAATACTAAGGGCCCTTTATGTTACTACCCCATCGCTTTCTCATTCCCCGCCTTCCTCCACCACCTCATGCCTCTGGAATAATTCCTAATCGCATATACTCACTCATCATCCTTCATTCCTGGTGTAATATGTTCTTATTCTTGGAATACAACAGCCTCCCTGGGGAGGTATTTGGCGAGCATAGCGGTATCCCAGTAAAGCCAGACCTCCCTGAATTGCAATTCATCCAGGGCATCGGCGGAGTCCGCAAGGCCTATAGTGCTTATCCAACTGAGCGGAATGGCAACAGTCGGCTCTTCGGTGTCGTTTCCAGGTAGCCAGATGTTGCGGGTCCACTGGGACATGATCGTGGTTGTACCATCATCGTTTCTGACTTCCCAGAGGTTCTGAAAGTCGTGCCGGAGACCCTTAAATTGTCCAAATAGGCGTTTCATCCACGCCCACATCTCATCCCCACCATTGTATTGGGCAGTGTTCTGGTTGTGGAAAATGACGTTTTTGGAATAGAATCGTAAGCCTGAACCGTGGTTGAAGCCATGGGTGTCAACTGTATCAACATAGTTTTTGAAATGCTGGTGAGCTGGGGTCTGTGGTCCGGACGTATGCCAGGTAGATGTGGAAATACAGCTTACCAGTTGGGGCATGGTTGGAGAAAAGATGCAAATGAAAAGAACTGCGGTGTAGAGGGAGGGCACCCCCTTGTTTGATCCGGATTAGTGTGTAGTTATTCGCAAGCATCTTATAGACAGCAAATAGGCCTCATCCCCGGGAGCCGAACGGACTGTCCTGTTATTCCAGTACATGATTCGTCATGTTGCCGAGACACAAGATGTCTGGTATCTTTATCATTGGCTTTAAGGATACTACGAAGCCGAGTTCTCGATAGCCGATGTCATCAACCTATAGATGAATTCCTGTGGATCGAAAATCGACACCCGAGGTCATTGATCAGTAATCCCAATCAACCCAGTTATCCGGCGATATCTGGGTCACAGTTCTAATAAATGAGTCCAGCTTTCACATCAAATCCCCAAAAAATATTCTCAAGTACCTTTGTTCAATATTTCTTCCCCTATCTGAAGAAATCAGACTCCAACTTTACATACTATGGGTCTCGATTACAAAGTCTTCACCAGCAGACGTTCCGGCGTCGGTCGGACCACACCGGCTGGCCATGATCATTTCAAGTGGGTGCCGACTACTTCGACCTTGATATTTGGCCAGAGAGATGCAGTCCTGGTTGATACCCAATTAACCAAGGATGCTGCGAAAGACTTGGTAGACTGGGTAGTAGGCACCGGGAAAAACCTTACGACAATATATATCACCCATGCCCATGGAGATCATTTCTACGGTACCGGTGCCATTCTTGAAAAGTTTCCGGACGCAAAGGTTGTGGCTACGCCGGAGACTGTGTCTGGGATGGCTAAGGCTATATCCCCGGAAGGCCTGGACTCATTTTGGAGAAATCTTTTCCCTGGGCAGATACCAGACAAGCTGGTGATTGCCACTCCGCTTGAACAAGACCACTTCATGCTGGAAAATAGGCGATTGGAAGTGGTCAGGTTGGGGCATACGGATACAGATGATACAACAGCTCTCTGGGTGCCCGCAATCGGCTTGGTTGTTGCGGGCGACGCAGTCTACAACAATACCCACCCATACTTAGGAGAATCGAAATCCCAAGAGGCCAGATCGCGATGGGTGGCAGCTCTCGATAAGATTGCAGCCCTTCAACCAAGAATTGTCGTCGGAGGCCATAGTGATCCATCTAAAGAATTCTCTGCGGATGCCGTCCAAGCGACCAAGGATTATTTGAATGACTTTGCGCGACTGGATGAGCAAACTTCCACCCCTGAGGAATTATATGCGCAAATGATGGAACTTCACCCTACTAGATTGAATGTCGGCTCCCTATGGGGAGGTGCATCACTCGTGAAGAGATGATCTATGTGTGATCTCAATGTTGTTTGAGTTACTAGTGGCCTGGTATTTGCACCGTGATAGCGTGAGCTTAGCATGACTAAAAGCATATTATAAAATCACGAGACAATCTATACGGAAAATATACTAGTGATACTCTTGTTTGCCTTATTTATTTGATTGCTTTACACTTGTCCAACCATACTCAACAGACAGATCGAGGTTTCCCAGAACGACTTGAAGCATTTCAGTGTTATGGAATACATAATGTTTTCAGAGGTCCAGACTGACGAGGATATATATACAGTCGAACTAGTCACAAGCTACTCCGTAAGGTAAGGTCCCCAAGGCGACGGTTCATTTTCACGGAACCACCTCTTCTCATCCTCAGACCCAGTAGGAGGGATTCTGAAACCATTGACGTGGACGAATTCGCGCTCAAGCTCCTCGCCGTTGACCTCCCAGTTGTAGCCTTCGTCTGCAATAAACGGCTTCAATGTCTCATGTACTTCATTCATGAAACGAGTTCGCATAGGGCTCTCGCCCGGAGGAAAGTGTCTTGCGATATGGCTGAATGTAAGCCTAACAAAAGGCTTTGTCCCTTCCCCGGACTTCTCAAACACATCGTGTCAGTAACTAGATTATCGCTGGGTTACTCGCAAACTTACGCAAGAAATTCCGGCTCGGTACATGGTAGCGGGTGGCATCTCAATAAATAGGACAACCACATAAAATGCAGGCAACCCAACGTCAGTATATATAGAAGTTATTGCCTTTGACAAGGTCTCCCTCTGATCGGGACTTGTGAAGGTCCCGGTTGGATGGTATATTCTCCAATCCGGCATTTTGTGTAGGGAAGTTATGCAAGGGAAAGGAAACGCGGGTCTCGAAGATGTCTCCAATGTAATTGACAGAGCAATTTCAAATAACGTATACTGGTGCTTCGATAGTATCAAAGATTCCCATTACGTTGAAATATAAGTTTTCTTCTATGCAGGGGGGAGGTAAGCATATTTTGCCAATGATTACTGATCAATCCCGAGATTTGCTTCGACATACATACTAAAGTGTATACGAGCTAGTACGAATGATTATCAGCACCGACTAACTATCATGTCCGAACTCCGAACATCTCTCGCTCGGCTAAGATCATTAATCTTCATTCAACGTCAAAGTGGATCCAGATTGATTAGTCGTTCCGGCCGACCCAATGGAACACCCGGGATTCCCACCGACTCACACAAGATATCTAAAACAGCCTAAACTGCATTAAATTGTCTACATTGAGTACCGCGACAAATGATAGATCCCCATTGAACTCCGGAACTCAGAGCATCTCGGTGGCGCACGTTCTAGTGACGTACTTCCCTAGCGCAGTTAACAGGTTATTGTCATACGGCGGCCTACAATAGGGTTCAGGGCCAGTAGGTATCAAGTTGGGGGACACTCGGTGATCGGCTCCTTCCATGCCGCTTATAAATCACCGTCTCCAATGTCTATTGACGATCTGAAACCGACTGATCGGCTTCCAGTCGTGGCGTACCATGGACGGGCCACGACGGCGTGGAGACACCAGGCGGAATGAACTTGGCATGCGTGGGTATTGAATATGGGGAAGTTTGTCAACGAAGTTCCCTACTCTAGGGTTTCAGTCGTTTCGGGTTATAGCCCGCTTGCCACTCGAGTGAGTTGTGGTTATGATTCAAGGACATTTAGTTTTGTGTTTGGAAGGTGTCTCAGTATCCAAGAATCCGTATTAGTGCCTTGACGGTCTGGATATGCCGGGTTGGCCATCTATTCTTCTTTTTACATGATTAGAAAGCTCAATGAAAGCGTTACTATATCTTTGAGCCCTTCATTAAATATCAGTTCTACTAAATGATACAATCAAGTCCGTACCGACAGGCAAAACCTGTGCCAACAGAAAAACTGACAAATATAATGAAAAAATGAACCACATAAACTAGGTAACGAAATGGGTAACATTCGGTTCGCGATGAATACATATGCTATCCGCTAACTCGTGATGTCTGTCAGGTGGCTGAGGGAACTTCACCAGACAGATGCGCACCAGCACAGCCCCAACCCAAGACCATAGGATTAAACCTATTAGGATACTTCGCCATCATAGCAGAGTACAATTCGCTTACGGTCTGAGGTTTCTGTTCCAACAAACCCATGAAGTCTCGAATATACTTCTTGGTTGCTTCCAGATGCCATATGCCATCCATTTCATCCGCGTTCCGGTGACCGGGCACCACATAGACGGGATTAAGTGCCTCAACCTTCTCAACCGCTCTGATCCATTCTTCTCGCTTCTCTGGGGTGTTCGCTTCGAAAAGCATCTGGTGAACATCGCCATATACCACATCTCCACAGACGGCCAACCGCAGGTCTGGGACCCACAGTACAGTTGAGTCAAATGTGTCGGAATGGCCGCACTCAATTGCCTCGAAAACCCATCGGCCTTCTAGTAAGAATTGATTATTGCTTGGGAGAGCTTCCGGTAGCCGGTGCTGGGTAGAAAGTTGATCTCCCGGGAAAAACGCAAGCCACGCCGAGAACCCCTCTTCGGAGATTTGCTGCTCGATATGACAGACAGTCGCCTTGGTTGCCACTGCTTTCGCTTCTGGAAAGTGCTGCAACAGCAACGGGAGGCCAAGGAAGTGGTCCGCATGGCCGTGGGTGATATAGATATAGGAGAGCTTTCGACCCGGTGCAGTCTTCCCGATCCATTCGACCAAGTCCTTGTTCTGGTTGATTGTGATCGCAGTATCAACAAGAACAGCTTCATTCTCCGAGTAAATCAGAGTGCAAGTTTCGGGAGACCATGTGGTATTCTGCCGGTGTGACACATGGTCGACACAAGGGATTGGCGGCACCGTATGAACAGATACTCTTAGACCCGACATGATGTTCCAGTATTACCTCCGAGGAGTCAAAGATACGATCAGAAGAGATGGATTGATGGGCCTGAGCAAGGGGTCAGGAGCATTTGAATCTTATGCCGTACTTGGCTCCTATTATTTCTGTTCAACATCCGCTCTTCCGACCCCACCTCGGCCTCGGACTGAATCATTCATCAACAAAATATTATTTCTCTCAAGATGCAATAGAATGCGATCTTCCGGCCCCCGGATGAACCGGACCCCCACCAACTATGATTATCTCAACAACCCGCCGGACCCATCAACTCAATCTCAAGATGAGACGGGCTTGGTGGGTCAGGTCTTACTAGTCAAGTGGCGCAAGTCTCGGAACCTTTAAAACGACCACTAATCTTTCCGTTATCCAAACTGATTTAATATGTACAGGTTCTTGGCAGTCCACCTAATTAACGCAGATCTTATACCAGCGATAGTCTACAAACTGGGGACGACGGAAAAGACTACAGCGTTAATATGATCTCTAGGTATACGGTAGTTTCGCGCAACGTCTTGTAGGTGGCCCATTATGGTGAAATTTTTGAGTCATGTCTCTAAACTACTTAGAGATACCCGTCAAGATAATTGCCGGCGGAATGTACAAGGTCACCACCGACCTCGCAGAGATTGGTCTTCAGAGAATGAATAGGTGTCACAATGTTGTAGAACGAGAAATCCTGACATTTGGGCTATAATTCTAGACAGGCACCCATATTTCTGTGCTGAGAGATATACAATCGTGGCCGACAACTGTAGACTTAGTATAGGAGGAACGGTACAAATCTAGGGCAACATAACAGACATTACACCCAATCCCACTATGGGTTTATACCCAGCAAGTAGCTAAATTACAGGTAATATGTTCACAGTTGTAATAATCTGAGCTAAATAACTGTAGAACGAAACGACTGACTGCAGCTTTCCTGACGACAGGCCTTGCCATGCCAAACAACCGAAGGTAAAGAGAGCAATCTATCAAGTCTGTTCTTGAAATAGCTTGCAACTGAGACTAATGTTTCAGCCACACAGCCAGGCTAAGCGCCTTCCCAAGCGACCGGCTTGTTTTCCTTCGCCCAAATCTTCTCCGCATCACTTCCAAATGGGGGAGGAACTAATCCATTGACCCGCCATAGCCTCCTTTCGGTCTCATCGACATGAAATTCCCAGTCATAACCTCTATCGGCAATATGAGGCTTCAAGGCTTTGTCAATCGCGTCGCATGTAGATTTATAAGTTTGGTCGTCATTTTCGAGTCGAACGGCGATGTGGTCAGCAATAATTCGAATAAACGGTTTTTCCGTTCTGATTTCAGCGCCGACCCACGTATCTCCGGGGGGGAGCTTCATAAAGTTGATGACCACATAGAATGCAGGAAGACCAATTCCGGTGTATATCTTGGTGATGTCTTCCGTCAAAGCTTTCTTGGAAGCTGTGTCCTCGAAAGTGCCGGAGGGGTGAAAAATTTGCCAAAAGGGCATTTTAAGTATGTGATAGTAAGCCAGAAATTTGAGTAGGGTCCCCAGATAGAAAATGAGCAGGGCCAGGAAGAGGATTGACACAGATGTAAGACTACGACGACTTTGCCGTCAAACGTTACCTTATAAATGTAGCTGGGCCCATCTCAAGCTAAAGTTCCTTTCTCCATAATACCTGACATTGTTTCTTACATGGATCAATGAATACCTGAAGGCATGGCCCCACATACAGCTGGTAATCCTCTCGGCTTTTCTTGGTACTTCAGAATGACGATCATGCTGGACAGTGGGTATTTGGATGCGAATACGGCCTCGGAAGGAGCTCGGAGAAATGATAGATACGATGAGCGCCGGATGGATAGTTAAAACGTTGCCGGATAGATCAGTAATCAAATAAGCGTCCTGATTAGATAGATAGGCCGATACTAACTGCGAAAGGCAGACAGTCGTTAGCCGGCATCTTTATTCACCCCCTTGTATTACTCATAGCGCTATATCAGGGTTCGTTCTTCGGCTTCCTCCGGTCCGAGATCTTTCCAGCGAGACTAGCCCATGCATGAATAGCTCCGGATAGCTTCCCCCCTTTCTCTGAAATATATGTATTGGAAAACAGAATTCTGGTGAAAATCGACTCAAACAAAGTTTCTTCACAATGCCTATCCGCGATGTTGCATTCGAAACGTCTGACCACCTCACACTTCGAGGTTGGGTCTTCACTCCCAGCTCCTTCGATGGAAAGCTTCCGTGTGTGGTAATGGCGCACGGCTTTGCGGCCCATAAAGAATTCAACCTAGGTAGCTTTGCGGAGTATTTCACTTCGAACTTGCCAGTCGCTGTACTTGCCTATGATCATCGTTGTATCGGTGCCAGTGATGGAGAACCAAGACGAGAAATCATCCCTGCTTTGCAAATAAGCGACTTTTCCGATGCTATTACTTTTGCACAATCTCTACCAGAGGTTGCCGCCGACAAAATTGCTATCTGGGGAAGTTCATACAGTGGAGGTCATGTTCTCACAGTTGGAGCGGTTGATCGTCGAGTCAAAGCTGTTATTAGCCAAGTGTAAGTCTAACCTATAATCTTACGCCTTATCTGGTCCTGTCTGACCTTCATGCGTGCGCATTAGCCCCCTAACCAGTGGATGGGATACGTTCCATCGTATAAACAGAGCTGACTCGATTCCGAGACTCAACAAGTTATTCGAAGACGGTCAGTTTCCTATCCCTTTAATAGATACAATGCTAGTGAGAAAAAGCCTGTCCTGCTGACGAGCTTGAGATCGGGGCCGTAGATCGCCTTGCTCGTGCAAGAGGTGAAGAGCCGGCTCGGGTGCCCGTGGTAGACAAAGATCCTCACGCCTTTTCCGTTCTTCCTTCAGAGGACAGCTATATTGGCTACAGCTCAGGAATACCATTAGGGTGGGTAAATGATGTGACACTTAAGAGGTATGTGGCACAATTTGTTTCTGAGTTACTGGAGTGTAGGGAATAGGTCTAACCATAAAAAAGCCTCGAGGCATTCCGGGCATACGAACCTTCGGCGCTTATTGAACGTATCAGCCCTACTCCGTTGCTAATGATTGTGATGGATAATGATGTTGTCACACCTACCGACCTTGCGCTTGGTGCTTTCGCAAGAGCAAAGGAACCCAAGCAATTACACATCCTGCCGGGAGGTCATTTCGACCCATATAATGGGCAACTCTTCGATGAAAATGCCCCGGTACAGGCTAGCTTTCTACAAGAGCATCTCCTAAAGTAGGAGAACATTGAACTGTTCTGATCATCTGCTGGTTATTTGGTACGTCCGCTATTTGGACTGTGTGTATCGTCAAACAGCTACTACTGGAAGATATGTAGCCGTTTCAGGCACCTGACCTCACAAAAAAGGTCTGTTTGTACAAGATAGCGTCTCGCCTCTCCCTTCTTGACCGATGTCTATGCTCGCCTGACTGGACCGAGAAATCGAGCACAGTTCTGAAGCTATCATGGTTTATAGAGTCTGGCCTGCGGGAAGACGGTTCATCTCCGCTTCCACAACTCTTTCCATTCCAGTACAAAGCGTCTCGTTGTGTGGGTCTATAAAACAAGTCCACGGATTCCAGTTACCTACCTAAAGCCATTGAAAATACTTGTTCCAGGATTAGGCTGTTTGGAAGAGATTGCTCTCCTCAATCACCATCCCTGCCTCCATATTTTTCAGGATCAACCATACGTTCCTTGACCCAGGTGTTAATTGCATCCATATCCCTACACTGTACTTCAGAGCTCCATGAAGCATGTAGTCCCACCTGTCTCTCCTTAGGGGTCTTTTGTAGGTAGTCCTTCGTATACCGCTCTGTGCCGTCATCGTCAATATAGGTATAGTTGGGATCCCACCAGTAGATTAACGAGATGTCACCATGACACAAAATAGCCTGGCGAATGGCACCAAAGCAATCATCCGCGTTAGAATTAGTTGGGTATGACGAGGGAACAATATGGGCAGCATGACAATACGAACTGTTATGTATCTCAACCTGCTCCGCAGACATATTTGGGTAGATGTTAGCCAAGAGAAGACAAGCTCTGCTAAGGCCTTATTGTCCCCGCCGAACCCTTGGCGCGCCCCGCATGGATATCCGGCCGACGCACACTCCAAGGGGCCTGAACCTTCTCTCGTCCACCCTTTTGATTCCGAGGTCCTTGTCTCGTACCTCAATTTCAGTAAGTTAGCTATTGGAGTCTTTATGTTTCTGCCTGGAGCGGACTCTCTGGACGTTCCGATTTGCCCACTGACAATAGGTGGGTCGAAATTGGTCGAGTAGTTCATGTACTAGGGTCGGAGGCACGGCCTGGCCCTTGCCTCGGTCGGAGATAACTAGTACCCAGTCAGTTAATTTGGCCACTTTCAAGCAAAGAATCTTTTCTCGTGATTGCCATAGTCAAGGGAATTATAGGCTGGATTATATTGTCTTTCGATAACACTACGTGGTGAATTCACAAAATTGGTTGAACACTAGCGAGAGCCACACAAGCCGGTCGAAGGACTTCATAGACCGCTTAACTGCCCGAGGTACCCACATGGCCACTTTTTCCTAATGTAAAATTCTTGGCCAAAGGGTACTATGTCATCTTGAAATATTCGAAAATCTACATTCAATGGCTCAAAATCCAGCTCCAACGCTTGTAGTCTGTCACGAGTAGTAGGGTCTGGTGCCAGTATTTTCGCGCGTACGCCGTCTGCGGATGTTGACGGGTCTTGCTCTCTTGACGCAAATCGGAGATACAGCTTTCGCAAGGAGGGCACATGCGTAGGGCAATGTGTTATCAGACCTTTCAGTTCGGTATACAGTGCGGATGAGCACTGAAGGAGGCAATGGTCAATGAACAGATGACTGAGCGAGCGTGGAAGAACTTGCCAGAGCGGCGCTACCGGCTTCATGCCTCCATCTTCAGTAAATTGCAAGAGATTACCCCACCGCATACAGACAGTCTCTAACCGAAGGAAGTTCGAGAAAGATCCAAAAAAGACCGGTGTGGGGGTCTTGGCATCTTGCCGGACGTTCCAATCACTGAAGGTCAAACTCAAATGGCGGAGCGAAAAACGAGAGCTCTGTAGAGACTGGTATAACTGACGTAGGTCTTGCCAGTACTGACTTTCATATTCATGCCAGCCCTGTTGTTGCAGTGTAAATGACTCGAGCGCAGAGCATCTATTGAGAAGGTGAGGGAGGCTTTGCAATGCAGTATCAGGGCATTCAAAATCCAGATGGGTGAGTAGTACGGTCGAGAGATCCTTTGGCATCCTAAGTGGCGATCGGTCGCAAGGGTTTGAGACGTATAGCTTTCGCAGAGAAGGAATTCGAAGAAAGGGCAGTAATCGAGTCAGGGGAACCGCATCCACCGATAACTCAGATTCCCAGATACAAGGTCCGTTTGTAAGTGAGATATGCCTGAGCTTAGTCAAGATTCCTAACTCGGGTTTGCTGGCCCACTCTATAACCCGCTCAAAGTGAGGTGAATGCCTAGGGGGAAACGGTCCGTCCTCATAACCCCCTATCCATACCTCTTCCGGAAGGGCAACCCCAAGCTTCTCAAGATCCACAAGCTGGACTAGCAACAGCGCTAGCCAGACATCTTCAAAATGGTGGAGCGGCCCTTGAAAGTCCGTCCGCTCAGAAGATTGCTTGAGGTCTCTGCGCCAAGAATAGAACTTGCGGCGATGTTTGCGTTTAGACTGTCCATAAGGTAACATGAAGTGGCGATATTTTTCTTCGGCCAAAATCTCCAAGGGGGGTAGTTGTTCCCATTTCCCCTCCTTACAGTCGCTAGGATAAAGCTCCAAAGATCGAATCAATGGAGCAAGTGAAGGGTTTGTTATCATCACTTGGGTGAATCGACGGACAGGAAGAAGTGATTTGGGCATGATTCCGTACGCAGCACCGAGATAGTCGTATTCATTGAGAGGGAGCGAGACGTGGTGATATAAATGGGGAATAAACGCAGTGTACCATGCCTTGCATACAAGAACCGATCGAGTGTAGTCAGGTGGGGTAAAGAAAGGTATAATATGAAGCAGAATCTCGCTCGGAATTTTAGCAAACATTTTGGACGATATGTAGAAGATACGTGTAGCGGAGGGGCAGTGGGCGACGAGGAGGAAGGGGGGAAATAGTTTAATGCTTAAGTAGCCCATGTGGGGCAAGGGACAACTTGTACTTATCGGAACTGGCTGGTCTAAGGGATCATAGCCGGAGGAAGAAATGATAATGGTATCGGTGATAATGGCCAGCGAATACAATATAAGATGATATGATACAATAAGGAGACCCTACATAACGGCCGTGGAATTTCATTGCTATCACCTTGATTTTTAGAAGCCCACATAAATCTCTCAGACAATAGAGTGTACACTAGCTGACGACAACACATCATCGGGGTGTCTCTTCGACTTCTGCCGCCGCTTATCGAATTGGATCAGAATGTGTGCCTATTACCAGGGCCTTGCAGTATGTAGACCGAGGCTTCACAGCTTGAAATGATGTAACTGCCAATCGTGCCAGAGCATTGTTCAATCGGCTTCTATATCCAGCACTCAAGTAGGTATGTATGCTATTATGGGCACAGTTCTTCTTTGTCCCCCTCTTTTTCGTGAAGCCCAAATACGCATAAGATTGAGTTCTAGACCAGCTAGTACTAAAGGAATAGTATATGGTATTGTTTGTTTTTTTACATAACCCTGACGGCTTCAGAATGGTAAGAAACTAATTACGTTATTTTTGTTTGGAAGTTTCGAGAGTGAGCTCAGCGCAACATATATTTTATCATAACCGCGATTACGCCGATGCTACAATTATACCGATCCCATTATCGAATGGACAACACACTATAATTCCCCCCCGCCTAATACTACTCGAGTCACTCGTAAACTTCAGATATGGAAAAGGCGCAAGTATTTTGTTGATCTGACACAGACTAATACTCACTGTATAGTCGGACTTTCAAGTCCCCCAATAGTTTATCCTTCTCAAAGAACAACACTCCCTCATATTTTCCTTCAATTAGACCCCAGTACTCCAAATGTCTCACTGCGTCTAGACACACATCATTCTTTATTCGATCGGTATATTGCTCGGCATCTTAAAGATCTACGATAAAGCTGTGACATGCCATCGGGAATCCGAAAGTAATCAAGGGGAGTCGCGTATTATTGTCCACTTTGGGGCTCCCATGTGATATCTTCTCTTCGTGGGTCCCAATGAGTGAAATGGCAGGACTGCAGTTCCCTGTAGGTCCATTAGCAGAGCTCTAATTCGGAAATGTGTCCACCTTGGAGTCTTCTGTCCCGGAATTTATAGAACATCCACACATTAACGCTTCAATGAAGGCAATTCGAATACGGTTTTGCTCATCTTCTGGAAGTGTGTCGAAGCCATGTAAATTCTCTCCAGTAACCTTCTGCATCACAATATATGCAATGTACCCGCCTGGTAGTTCATCGCTAGAGTTCTGTCTTTCAATAGCGTACCCAAGAAGCTTCGGTATACTCCTGCAGTCCTCTAATTGCGATAGATTATATATTTCGCGGTATACACCGTCACTAGGCTCAGAATACCTATGGTTACTCCAAAATGTGATTCTATTCATGTTAGTCCAATTCGTTCCCCTTTTGGCCCTATCTTTATTTCAATCAACAGTGTAAACATACTGCTTTTTGGCTTTTATGACATCGGGCGTATTGGAAGGTTGACCAGCTCTGGTAGCTTCAAAAGCCTCATGTCGCTCATACGTAAAGCCACCTTGTGGGTCTTCCTGCTTCCGAATTTTGCTTGAGAGATTTCTGCCGACTTTCTAGTCCCTGAAATCATAATCTAGTCGAGTATCGAATAGTGGTTTGTGACTATAAGTACTGGAAGCCATGGTTGTCGCTATCAAGGCGGTAATAGTGGGAACTCTGAGAACAGAGAAATCCGTAACGACCAACAATGTCACGTGGTGTGGTCTTGTTATTTTCAATTAGGAAAATGTTGTATTCTTTTTATGGCCATTCACCATGAGATAATGAATAACTGGTTTTGGTGCAGTCATAAATTTAGATGCTTCTAATATAAGGTACATATTATAATGCATCGCTGGCTTCGAGAACATAGATGTGGACATAACACTCATTAACAACAACAAATATATATATATTTAAACAGGAAATTATCACCAATACTTCAAGACAGCAACGTCACTGTTTTCCCTGCTCCTCAACGTCTTTCATGAAAAACTTACAATCTGGCTGCCTTGCTTGGCTTTCACGAGGGATAGTAGTGACCAGAAGGATGGGATGAAGAGGGGGTGATATTACCCATTTCTCGTCCCTGTCGTAAGTTGTCGTATGCTATAACTCCAAACTGGCTCCTACAAGCTCTACACCATGTTCTCCCGAAAGCTGTCTACAGGATACCTACAATTAGCATTCGAGTCTGGGCACAACTCATGTGACCTCAGCTAGCGCCCGGGCATTGAGGAGTCTCACTCAACAGCTTCACACCTTAAGCTCTCCGTTTCGACTTCAGCATCAACCATCTCTAAATACTTTGCCCTTTCTGTCAGCTGAGTCCTCCAAAATGGAAAGGAAAACATGGAGAATGCTAGGTAAGAAAGACAAACCTACATAGCTCACATATGTATAACTAGGCCCTCACCCAAATAACAGAAAACAACCCCGACGTAATGAACCAACTAGCAGCAAAGCTAGGCTTATCGCCGGAGCTACAGTTCTACGACGTATATTCCATAGACGACCCATCAGAGCTTACACACATCCCCCGACCTGCTCTAGCTCTGTTGGTGATCATCCCACTTACACCAGCTTGGGACCAAAACCGCAAGGCCGAAGATGCTGACAAAGAAGAACCCTATCCTGGCTCCGGCCGCCCTGATGAGCCCGTCATCTGGTTCAAGCAAACCATCGGCCACGCCTGTGGTTCGATCGGTCTGCTCCATAGCGTGATCAATGGTCCGGCTGTTGACTTTATCAAGCCTGATTCCGATCTCGCGGAGATACGCAAGCAAGCTATACCGCTGGATATGGACAAACGCGCTAAGATGCTGTACGACAGTGAGGCGTTTGAAGTCGCTCATAAGTCAGTCGAGCAGGCTGGTGATACCGATGCGAATTTAATGGATGAGCGTGATGGTGGGCATTTTGTTAGTTTCATCAAGAGTGGCGGGAAGCTCTGGGAGCTGGAGGGGTCGAGGAAGGGACCTCTGGAGAGGGGGAATCTTGCTGAGGACGAGGATGTTCTTAGTCCACGGGCGCTTGATATGGGTATTAAGAGGATTATCAATCTGAATGCGGGTGAAGGAGGAAGTCTGTGTTTCAGTTGCATTGCTTTGGCCCATAGGGCCAAAAGCCATGCTTAATGCTCAATTGATATACTGTGTACGGAGTACTACCGCGATGACTGTAATCTGCAATCTTATTGGTGGTGAAGTCCCGTCTCTGCTCTATATGATGACTAATACTCACCTCGGCTGTCGCCGGCTCCACCAGCAAAGTCAGCTAGCGCAAGCGAGGACCCACCGCGCAGGTATAAAAGGCGGCTTCCCCCCCAAAGATTTTGAAAATCAAGCGACTCTACGTTAGTTTCCCTCCCCCCTACATTGGGATGATCCCACTGAAGACTCATTTGCTAACCACCTTTTTGCCTACAGTTCAAAGAATCACTTTAGAGTAGACGTCCCACCTCTGAGCTCTTCTAAAGAGCCACAGAATCTCCACCCTTGCTGATGACTGCTATGTCCTCGATGCCCTAAAGTGAAGCCGTTTTTTACTTCCGATTCGACTTCGCACTTGCACGCTCTGTTACGATCCATCGTCAGATGGACTTGTTTCGGGTGTCGGTGCGATGGTCCAGGGAGTGGTGATGATCTTTACCTTGTCATGATGTCTTGACTTCGGTCGGTCGGACTTGGTGGGTGTCGAGGAGGTCTGAAAGGTGTTTTCCCT